GCCCGAGGCCTTCTCCTTAAATCCTTGGGACTTCCTGACAGGCGGCTCTCGGGCTCTCGACGTCCCAGCACGCCCTTTTCCGCCCACCCGCCGTTGGACACGCAGCCGGGGTTCTCGTCGTGGAAGCGGAGGGGGTCAGCGCCCTCTAGTTTCGCTTGGAGGAGTTGATGAGGTACTTGCAGCAGTGCGTGAGGAGGTGCTTCTCCGTGGGCCCCGTGGCGTCGGAGCCGGCCACTTCGCGCGTGTAGATGTCCAGGCCGTACTGGCCCTCCTCGGGGAAGCTCAGCGTGAACGTCACGATGTCGTCGGCTACCCGGTGGCTCACGTACTTGCTGAGGCGCTTCTCCTCGGAGCCGTTCTTGTGCAGCGTGGCCATGAAGTCGGTGAGCGGCCGCGTCATGTGGAACTGCAGCTCGAGGTCGCGGCCGGCGAACACCAGCGCGTCCTGGTGCGTGATGGGCTCGAGGCCGAAGAGGCGCGTGGCCTTGGCGGGGCCCCACTCGCCCGAGGCGCAGTCCGGCAGCGGCACCATCACCGTCTGCAGGTCCTCGCACACGATCTTGAACTTGCACACACTCTTGAACTTCATGGGCTCCCCGGTGAGGTACTCGCGCGGGGTGACGGCGTTGGCGAAGATGTCTAGCAGAAGGGCGCCCGAACACGGGGCGTGGACGCGGAAGGCCACGAGGCTGCCCACCACGCTCTGCAAGCCACGAAAGAAAAGAGTTAGAACTTCAGAAAATTCCTAAATTTCTCCGGCAAAATGCTCGCCTACTAAAAAAAAGAAAAAGAAAATCAGCTAAAACAAAAACTCTTCACCAACACACCAAAAAACAATCAAAACAAGGACCTCCTCCACTTACCTGCATAACAAAGCGCTTGAGGGACACGCTGTCGTACTGGTCCTTGTCGGAATCATACAGCTTGAGATTATAATGGAAGATGAGGGAGGACTGCATGTGGCTGGGCATCCCGATCCGGATGGTAGCTGCGCCTGGAAGTCAGGGAGGCAATCGGTCACAATTTACTTTTAATGTTTTCATTGACTTACTTTTCTGAGGGAGCGTTTATGTAAATATGAAGTAACCGTGAAGAAATTGTAGAGATTCATTGGAAGGCAACGAAGGAAGAAGGAAGATTGATTCGTGAGAAACAATTAGTTTTAAATGATTAACGAGTGAATGACAAAAACGAATCGTGGTAAACAAAGTGTAAGATTTATCAAAATAGCGTTGCAGGCAGAAGAAAGAAAACTAAGGCAAAAAGAAGACTGATCCATGAACAAATTGTTGTTATTGATTCACGGGCGAAGATTTTTTTATGCAAATTTTATTAAACTAGCAAAGAAGGAAGGATTCATCAGGAATAAAACTGTAAATAAAACAACGAAAGGAAGAGCAAGCGAATTTATCGAGTTCTTTTCTTTTTTAGAGTGTTTTGAAGCGAAAAGGACACCGGCACATTTACTTGTTTTCTTGTTCTTCCTTTGCTGTTTTATTTAAGGTGGTGACTGAAGGACATCAGTTACACGTGGTTCGCTACCCTTCAGAACTGTGTGGTGATGATGATAGAATGAGAACAAAGCAAAGGCATTAACCTTTTAATTGTTAATTTCTCTTTTCTTCTCTCTTTCTTTATTCACGTTTCATTCACCAAGTTTTTTTTCTGGATAGGCCTTAGTTCAGCGTTTGAAAACCACTGGTCTAGGTGTCTCTTTAACGGTTACAAACTTCTGGTCTAGGTGCCTTTAAAACTGAAAAACAATGGTCTTGGTGACTCTAAAACTGGGAACCATTGGTTTAGATGTCTCTAAACTGGAATGGTCTTCTAAACTGGAAACTACTTGTTTAGGTGCCTCTAAACTGGAAACCACTGGTCTATTAAACTGGAAACCACTGGGCCTCTAAACTGGAAACCTTAAACTGGAAACCACTGGTCTAGGTGCCTCTAAACTGGCTGGTCTAGGTGCCTCTAAACTGGAAACTACTTGTTTAGGTGCCTCTAAACTGGAAACCACTGGTCTAGGTGCCTCTAAACTGGTGGTCTAGGTGCTCTAAACTGGAAACACTGGTCTAGGTCTAAACTTGGTCTAGGTGCCTCTTAACTGGAAACCACTGTTAGGTGCCTCTAAACTGGAAACCAATGGTCTAGGTGCCTCTAAAACTCCACTTCTAGGTGCTCTAAACCATAGGTGCCTCTAAAACTGGAAACCACTGGTCTAGGTGTGGAAACACTAGGTGCCTCTAAACTGGAAACTAGGTGCCTCTAAACTGGAAACCACTGGTCTAGGTGCCTCTAAACTGGAAACCGGTCTAGTGCCTCTAAACTGGCACTGGTCTAGGTGCCTCTAAACTGGAAACCACTAGGTTGCCTCTAAACTGGAAACTACTAGGTGCCTCTAAACTGGAAACTACTGGTCTAGGTGCCTCTAAAACTGGAAAACTGTCTACTAAACTGGAAACCACTGGGTCTAGGTGCCTCTAAACTGGAAACCACTGGT